GACTGAAAATGAGAAGAAATAGCTATAAACATTCGTTAATAATTGGAATATGGAATGTACGAGGTACGAATCTAGGAAAATTGGAAGTTGTCAAAAATGAAATGGAATGCATAATGATCAATATCCTAGGCATTAGTGAACTGAAATGGACTGGTATTACCCATTTTGAATCGGACAATCATATGGTCTACTATACCGGGAATGACAAATTGAAGAGGAACAGCATCACATTCATTGTCAAAAAGAACATTTCAGGATCTATCCTGGCATACAACACTGTCAATGATAGGATAATAACTGTATGCCTACAAGGAAGACCAGTTAATACAACTGTTATTCGAATTTACGCACCGACAGCTAATGCCAAAGATGAAGAAATTGAAGATTTTTACCAACTTCGGCAGTCTGAAATCGATCAAACATGCAATCAAGGTACATTGATTATTACTATTGATTGGAAACAAAGAAGAAGGATCAGTACTTGGAAAATATGGCCTTGGTGATAGAAACAATGCTAGAGATTGCATGATAGAACTTTGCAAGACTGAAGAAAGACCTATTCATTTAAAATACTTTTTTTCAACAATATAAACAGTGACTATACATGGTGGACCTCCCCAGATGGAATACAAAGGAATCAAACCGAGTACATCTGTAGAAAAAGACGATGGAGAAGCTCAATATCATCAGTCAGAACAAGGCTAGGGTCTACTTCAGAACAGACCATCAATTGCTCATATGCAAGTTCAAGCTGAAGCTGAAGAAAATTAAAACAAGTCCATGAGCGCCAAAGTACAACCTTGACTATATCCCACCTGAATTTAGAGACCATCTCAAGAATAGATTTGATGCATTGAACACTAATTACCAAAGACCAGATGAGCTATGGGATGAAATCAAGGACATCATACATGAAGAAAGCAAAAGTCATTAAAAAGACAGGAAAGAAAGAAAAGACCAAAATGGATGTCAGAAGAGACTCTGAAACTTGCTCTTGAATGCAGAGTAGCTAAAGCAAATGGAAGAAATGATGAAGTAAAAGAGCCAAACAGAAGATTTCAGAAGGTGGCTTGAGAAGACGAAGTAAAATATTATGATGAAATGTGTAAAGACCTGAAGTTAGAAAACCAAAAGGGAAGAACATGCTTGGCATTCTCAAGCTGAAAAATCTGAAGTAAAAATTCAAGTTTCAAGTTGCTATATTGAAGAATTTTATGGGCAAAAAATTGAATGAGGCAGGACGTATCAAAGAAGATGAAAGGAGTACACAGAGTCACTGTACCAAAAAGAATTGGTTGACATTCAGCCATTTCAGGAGGTAGCATTGGATCAAGAACCAATAGTACTTGTCATGGTTTGAATTTTGTCCCCCCAAAAATGTGTGCATCAGTTTGGCTGGGCCATGATTCCTGGTACAGTGTGATTTCCCTATGTGTTGTAAATCCTGCCTCTATGATGTTGATGAGGGAGGATGGGTGGCAGTTGTGTTAATAAGGCAGGACTGGATCTACAAGACTGGATTGTGTCCTGAGGCAATCTCTTGAGGTATAAAAGACAGAAGTGAGCAGAGAGACAGGGGGACCTCACACCATCAAGAAAGCAGTGCCGGGAGCAGAGCGCGTCCTTTGGACTGGGGTCCCTGCAACGAAAAGTTCCTAGTCCGGGGGAACATTGATGAGAAGACCGACAGGGAGAAAAAGCCTTCCCCTGGAGCTGACGCCCTGAATTTGGACTTTTAGCCTACTTTGACTGTGAGAAAGTAAACTTCTCTTCGTTAAAACCATCCACTTGTGGTATTTCTGTTATGGCAGCACTAGATAACTAAGACAGTACTGAAGAAAGAAGTTCAAGCTGCACTGACGGCATTGACGAAAAACAAGACTCCAGGAATTGACGGAATACCAATTGAAATGTTTCAACAAATGGATGCAACACTGGAAGTGCTTACTTGTCTATACCAAGAAATTTAGAAGACAGCTACCTGACCAACCGACTGGAAGAGATTCATAGTTGTGCCCTTTCCAAAGAAAGGTGATCCAACAGAATGTGGAAATTATCGAACAATATCATTAATATCACACACAATCAAAATTTTACTGAAGATAATTTAAAAATGGTTGCAGCAGTACATCAACAGGGAGCTACCAGAAATTCAAGTTGTATTCAGAAGAGAATGTGGAACAAGGGGTATCGTTGCTGATGTCAGATGGATCATGGCTAAAAGCAGAGAATACCAGAAAGATGTTTACCTGTGTTTTATTGACTATGCAGAGGCATTTGACTGTGTAGATCATAACAAATTATGGATAACATTGAGAAGAATGGGAATTCCAGAACACGTAGTTGTGCTCATGAGGAATCTGTACATAGACCAAGAGGCAGTCGTTCAAACAGAACAAGGGAATACTATACTGCGTGGTTCAAAATTAGGAAAGGTGTGCGTCGGGGTTGTATCCTTTCACCATACTTATTCAATCTGTATGCTGAGCAAATAATCCGAGAACTTGTACTATGTAAATAAGAACGTGGCATTAGGATTGGAGGAAGACTGATTAATAACCTGCAATATGCAAATGATACAGCCTTGCTTGGTGAAAGGAAGAGGACTTGAAGCACTTACTGATGAAGATCAAAGACTGCAGCCTTCAGTATGGATTATACTTCAACATAAAGAAAACAGAAATCCCCACAACTGGACCAGTAAGCAACATCATAGTAAATGGAGAAAATATTGAAGTTGTGAAGGATTTCATTTTACTTGAATCCACAATCAATGCCTATGGAAGCAGCAGTCAGGAAATCAAACAACGTATTTCATTGGATAAATCTGCTGCAAAAGACCTCTTTAGAGTGTTAAGAATCAAAGATGTTACCTTAAGGAGAGCTGGACAATTAATAAGACTAAAGAAGGATTGATGCAATTGAATCGTGGTGTTGGCAAAGAATATTGAATATGCCATGCACTGCTAGAAGAACGAACAAAGTCTGTCTTGGAAGAAGTACAGCCAGAATGCTCCTTAGAAGCGCGGATGGCAAAACTTCATTTCATTTATTTTGGACATGTTATCAGGAGGGACCAGTCCCTGGAGAAGGACATCATGCTTGGTAAAGTAGAGGGTCGGTGAAAAGACCCTCAACGAGTTAGATTGACACAGTGGCTGCAGCAATGGGCTCAAATATAGCAATGATTGTGAGGATGGCGCAGGACTGGGCAACATTTAGTTCTGTTGTGCTTAGGGTCACTGTGGATGAGAACCAACTCATTGGCACCTAACAAGAAGAAGAAGCCTGGAGATGCAATATAGTCTTAGTGCTCACTGAATACATGACATTTTTAAAACAAGAAAGTGGTTCTCAACCTTACCGTGGATTAGAAATCACCTGGGCAGTTTTTAAAAAGTACTAGGATGTGGGCCCCACCCCAGAGATTCTGATTTCATTGTTCTGGGGCAAGGCCTGTGCATCAGAATCTTTTTAAAGTGCCCCCAGGAGATAATAATATGAGGTCAGACTTGAGAACCACAGCTTTAAGGTAAATAATAACTTCATTCCTTTTAGCAGAGTTTTTTTGGGTGAAATGTTCCCTGTATCTGACATAGTGGTATGAATAGCTATAATATTTTGTGGCAGAGAATTGAAATAACACTAGATGAATTTGTTACTGTTTTATGCAGGAACAAAAATGTAAGTGAATATCACTGGCAAATGACTATTGATTGGAAGACATGTTTAAATGTTTCTTCACAGTTTTGTATTACACTTAACAATCTAATTTAGTGAGTGCTTTTATAAATAACCCTAAAGCAGACTCTTGATAGAAACTGATTATGCCTTTTTTTTTTTTCCCTCACCTTCTCCTCCTTCAAATGGATGTCAGTACTCTAAAATGTGTGTTTAAGAATTACCCTTTTCTTTCCTGGCTTTATCAGCAGTTTTGAATTTATAATTTTTTTTTCCAGTGTGATTATATTTTTCTTCAGTTATAATACAAAATGTAGTTTAATGTTGAATGGCATGTAACTACTCCATCATGGTAACCCTGAATATTAAATTTAAATCTAGAAATGTCTAAAGTCAGAAATTCTGCCCCAAATCTTAAAAATTATCTTCCAACTTTTTTATTGTCATCACTTTTTTTTTTTAATTACTGTCTTTTTAAAATAAAAAAAAATTGCTCTTGAATTGGCCTCACTGAAGTGCTAAGTAAAATTTGAACAGTTGATGGTCTTCTTTCTTTAAAAAATAAGTGTTTGAAATAAACTAGAATGTATTGTAGGTGAGTTTATAATAAACTCCTTTGTTACAAGTCTGACCCAGCAGTTGATATTTTAAGGAAACACATACTGGGATGTGTACAAGCCTGGGACTCAGGGAAGGGCTCTACCATTGCCAGGCTGCCAACTCCTTGGTTTCCTCCTCTTTCAAAGAAGGGTGTTAGATTAAATGATTCAGAGTTTCCTCCAAGCTCTAACATTCTATAACAATATTAGTAAAGAAATATTACCCATCTGGAAAAATATAAAAAAAATGATATGTTAAGAAAACTCTTTTCTTATTTGTCTCGTAAGTAAAAATCTCACTTTAGCTGTCACTTTTAGTCATCCTCCTTCCTACTGAATCACAAAATGTTCCTCTCTTAATGGTTTGAGGGTCATTCTTATTTTCCTCTTTGGAAAATAACCAGTGTGGCCAAAATAGGGTGTATAAATTAAGAGTGTTATAACTTAACTGACTTTTAAAGCCATTAATGCTGACCTTTGAGACCTGGCTTTTTCCTTGGCCCCATCAATCACTCTGTACCACCTCCCCTAATACAAAGGGTTAGACAGATGTGGATACAGCTTGTATTACTGAGGATTATAGTGGTGGGGAGGAGGAAAGGGGAGGAATAGAGGAAAACACTTTTTTTTTATTTTTAAAGTTTTTATGTTTCATAGTGATTAAAAGTATGTTTAATTTGAAGAATAAATGTGTGAGTGTTGATACGTTTCTATGTTTAGGTTATACTACTAGATATTACACTGGAACTTCAGAAGCAAATTATGTCTGAATTGGAAATTCTTTATAAGGTAATTTTTTTTCTTGGTCATTTCTACTTATAAAGTGTGCTCATTGTATTGGTTTGTACATTTTAAACTACTTTTGTCTTATTTTTGTTACAGTGTGATTCGTCGTATATCATAGGGTTTTATGGTGCGTTTTTTGTAGAAAACAGAATTTCAATATGTACAGAATTCATGGATGGTGAGTTTCCACTTTACAATATTTTTAAAATGATTTTTGGAGTGCTTTAAAACCTAGTTTTGCTATAGATTTCAAATAGAATTAAAAATGATTAAAATATACTATATTAAATATACTATACTTTATGCTCTAAAATCATCTTAGTTAGGGGTTACTGGTGTTAAATATTTGTAGCTGAGCTATAATTTCAAGAAAGTAATTTGTTCTCTTTTATTGAAATTTTAAATAGAACAGATTAAATGCTAGTCTAATTGGTGGTTTGATATTTGATTCTTCTATACGGTCTGTCTTTACTTGCAAACAGATGTTCTGTTCCTTTAATGTTTCAGTAGCCAAAACAGATTTTCTTTTAAAGGAATCTATTAACTCAGTGTCCTATGTCTTTCCGAGAGAAATCGGTTCTTAATTGCAAGATAAGAAATTGTTTTTCAACACAGCTGTTTAGTCAAAATGTGTTTAGTTTGCTTTGGACTTTACCCCTATCCTTCCATCTGTATTTCTCATTTATGTCTATTTTGATAGGTCTTTCTTGGTTTGAATCTTGGTACTCTCTCAGTGAAATGATGTCATCACTGTTATTGTTTAACCATTTTGTCTAAGCAGTCTTTAAATATTACATACTCAGTTTTTTGGTGTCTAGCCAATTAAAACTCAACTTTTTTTTATACACTCAGTTCCATTTAGGGGGTTGTCAATACAATGCTAAAGCAATTAGTTCATGACTAGCAAGACTTTTCAGTGAGTGAACTATGATATCTTGATACCATAATAAGGGGTATAATATGTTGTAAATTAGTTCTGGTAGATGTTAAGAATTGAAAGTCTTAAATTCACATGGGTAGTATGACAATTACTGTTCAAGTCAAATACCTGTTGCCATCAAGTCAGTTTTGACTCATGGTGACCCCATGTATTGCAGAGTAGAACTGTGCTCTGTAGGGTTTTCTTGGCTGTAATTCTCGGCATATCGCCAGGACTTTTTTTTTTGTACTTTAGATGAAGGTTTACAGAACACACTAGCTTCTCATGAAACAGTTAATACACGTATTGTTTTTATGACATTGGTTAACAACCCCACAACATGTCAGTACTCTCCCTTCTCGACCTCAGGTTCCTTATTACCAGCTTTCCTAGCCAGGAATTTCTTGAGAGCTAGGCTGTTAAATAGAAGGTTGGCAGTTTGAATCCACCAGCTGCTCCTCGGAAACCCTATGAAACAGTTCTGCTGTGTTCTTTGGGGTCGCTATGAGTCAGAATTGACTCAACGGCAACAGGTTGTTTTTTTCTTTCACAACTGCATTGGGTGAGTTCGAACTGCCAACTTTTAGGTTAGTAGCCAACTGCAAACTGGTTGTGCCACCCAGGGACCTATTCAAGTAGACTGGCTAGAAACAGTGGATTCCTAGAGCCAGTACATGTTTGAAAGTATTATTTTATAACTTTTCATCTTTCTTTCTTTGAAAGCCTTCAAATTTACAGCTACATTTAATATTTAAAACAAAAGTTGTCATAATTCAAGTATCATAAAATTCTCTCTTTAAAAGTATACAATTCATTGGCTTTCAGTACACTCACAAGGTTGTGCAACCATCGCCAATATCTAATTCCAAAACATTTTTATCAGCCCCAAAGGAAATCTCATACCCATTACCAGTCACTTCTTGCCCCCACCCCTTAGTCCCTAGCAACCACTAAAGTACTTGCTGTCTCTATGGATTTCCCTATTCTGGACATTTCATTTAAATGGAATCATACAGTATGTGGCCTTTTGTGTCTGGCTTCTTTCACTTAGCGTAATGTTCTAAAGGTTCATCTGTGTTGTAGCATGTATCAGTTCTTCATCCCTTTTTATGAATGTATAATATTTCATTTTATAGCCATACCACATTTTCTGTAGTCATTCACCCATTGCTGAGCATTAGGGTTGTTTCCACTTTTTCATTATTATGAATAGTGCTGCTGTATACATTAGTATACAGATTTTCTGTGGACAAAAATTTTCGGTTCTCTTGGATATATACCTAAGAGTGAAATTGCTGGAGCATATGGTAACTATGTTTAACTTTTTCTTGAGGAACTGCCAGACTGTTTGCACCATTTTACATTTACATCAGGAATGTATGAGGGTTCCAGTTTCTCCACATCTTTGTCAATACTTGTTAGTCTTTCCTTTTGTTTTTGTTCTTTATCGTTGTAGTTTTAAGTGAAAATTTACATTTCAAGTTAGTCTCTTATACAAAAATTTATACATACATTGTTATGTGACCCTGATTGCTCTCCCTATGCTGTGACAGCACACTCATGCTTTCCACCCCTGATTTCCCATGTCCATTCAACCAGCTCCTAATCCTGTCTGCTTTCTCATCTCACCTCCAGACAGAAGCTGTCCATTTAGTCTCATGTATCTACTTGAGCTAAGAAGCACACTCTTCACAAGTATCATTATATGTCCTGCAGTCCAGTCCAATCTTTGTCTGAAGAGTTGGCCTTGGAAGTTGTTTTGGTTCTGTATTGTCTCTCCTTTTGGTTGTAGCCATTCTAGTGGGTGTGAAAGGGTATCTCATTGTGGTCTTCATTAACATTTCCCCAATGATTAATGACGTTGAGCATATATTCATGTGCTTACTGGCAATTTGTATATCATCTTTGAAGAAATATCTATCCGATTCCATTGCCCACATTTTTTAATTGTTTGTCTTTTTATTGTTGAGTTGTAAGAGTTCTTTGTATAGTCTTCGTATATTCTGTGTATATTCTTATCAAATGTATGTTTTACAAATATTTTCTCAGATTCTGTGGGTTGTCTTTTCACTTACTTGATGGTATCCTTTGAAGCACTTTTTTTTTTTTTTTTACTTTCAATATTGTCCAATTTAACTATTTTTTCCCTTTGCTTGTGCTTTGGTGTTATATCTTTGAAACCATTACCTAATCCAAGGTCCCAAAGATTTATACCTGTTTCCTTTTAAGAGTTTTATAATTTTAACTCTTATATTTAGGACTTTGATCCATTTTGTGTTAATATTTGTATATTGTGTGTGGTAGGGGTCCAAATTTATTCTTATACCTGTAGAAATTCAGTTATCCCAGCACCATTTGTTGAAAAGAGTATTTTTACTCCACTCAGTTTTCTTGGACCGTTGTCAAAAATCCATACATTTTTGGTCAAAAATTAATTGACCAAAAATGTATGGATTTATTTCTAGACTCTCAATTCTGTTCCACTAATCTGCCCTGCCTATCCTTGTGTCAGTACTGCATACTACTTGATTACTTGTACTTGGTTACTCTTGATTATTGTAGCTTTGTAGTATGTTTTGAAATCGAGAATGTGAGTCCTCCAACTTTGCTCTTCTTTTTCAAAATTGTTTTGGACGTTCTTGGTTCTTTGCATTTCCATATGAATTGTAAGATCAGCTTGTCAGTTTCTGGAAAAACCCACTGAACTTTTGATAGGAATTGTATTGAATCTTTAGATCACTTTAAGGAGTATTGCCATTTTAACAGTTACTAAGTCTTTCATTCCATGAACACAAGATGTCTTTCCATATATTTAAACCAGTTCGCATTGAGTTGATTCCAACTCATAGCAACCCCATATTTGTCAGAGTAGAACTGTACGCCATAGGGTTTTCAGTGCCTGATTTTTTTCAAAAGTAGATCTCCAGGCCTTTCTTCCAAGGATCCCCTGGGAGGATTCCAACCTCCAACATTTCAGTTAGGAGCCAATCACGTTTATTGTTTGCACCACCCAGGGAGTCCTCCATATATTTAGGTCTTCTTTAATTACTTTCAGTGATGCTTTATTGTTTTAGTGTACAAGTTTTATACTTCTTTGATGAAATTTATTCCTCAGTATTTTATTCTTTTTGATGCTGTTGTAAATGGAATTGTTTACTTATTTCAGTTTTGAATTGTTCATTGCTAGTGTTTAGAAATATAATTGATTCTTATATATTGATCTCAATGACTTATTCCTTGCAAGTACCTTTTTTCAACAACATAAACGGCGACTATACACATGGACCTTGCTGAATGGAATACACGGGAATCAAATTGACTACGTGTGTGGAAAGACATGATGGAGAAACTCAGTATCATCAGTCAGAATAAGGCCAGGGGCTGACTGCGGAACAGACCATCAATTGCTCACATGCAAGTTCAAGTTGAAGAAAATTAAAACAAGTCTGCGAGAGCCAGAAAATGACCTTGAGTATATATCCCACCTGAATTTAGAGACCATCTCAAGAATAGATTTCACACATTGAACACTAATGACTGAAGACCAGATGAGTTCTGGGATGACATCAAGGACATCATAGAAAGTATAAGGTCATTAAAAAGACAGGAAAGAAAGAAAAGACCAAAATGGATGTCAGAAGAGATTCTGAAACTTGTTCTTGAACATAGAGTAGCTGAAGCAAATTAAAGAAATGATGAAGTAAAAGAGCTGAACAAAAGATTCCAAAGCGAAGCTCAAGAAGAGAAGGTGAAGTATTATAATGAAATGTGCAAAGACCTAGAATTAGTAAACCAAGAGGGAAGAACATGTTTGGCATTTCTCAAGCTGAAACAACTGAAGAAACAATTCAAGCCTTGAGTTGCAATATTGAAGGATTCTATGGGCAAAATATTGAATAATGCAGGAAACATCAAAGGAAGATGGAAAGAATACACAGAGCCACTGTACCAAAAAGAATTGGTTGACGTTCAGCCATTTCAGGAGGTAGCATATAATCAAGAATTGATGGTATTGAAGGAAGAAGTCCAAGATGCATTGAAGGCATTGGCAAAAAAAGCAAGGCTCCAGGAATTGAGGGAATATTAAGTGAGATGTTTCAGCAAACGGATGCAACACTGAAAGCACTCACTCATCTCTGCCAAGAAATTTGTAAGACAGCTATCTGGCCAGCTGACTGGAAGAGATCCATATTTGTGCCCATTCCAAAAAAAGGTGATCCAACAGAATGCGGGAATTATTGAACAGTATCATTTATTTC